CTAAGGATCTGGGTCATGAAACGTTACAGTTAATGCATATTTATATAGGAAACAACACTGAAGTCTGTGAAATTGATAGTTAGGACAACCATTAGGAATTAAACAGTAGAATTAGACTCACAAACAATTCTTTTAGGATATTGGATGAATATCCTAAAAAATTCGAATAGCTAGAATGCGAAATTTCACTTGAATCGTGATATTTGTTCAGTAGACCGCTGTAGATAATGAACTCTTCATTTCGAAATCCATCTTCCTAGAAAAATAGATGTCCGTTAAGAATTTTTCAAAAGATTATGAAAGACAAGTGGTTTTCATAAACTGAACCTACAGTCTGAAAAAAAATCATTGGTTGTAATGTAAATCTTCAACTTAGCAAAGATATACTAAAAAATCATCTGGAGAGAATCCATTAGAAAGTCATTTGATGTAGAAAATCTTCGCACAAACTACTGTGACCATCCTCTTATAAACTCTCTTGTAAGTTACCATGACTGACCAATCCAATGTAACTTCACCAGTTCATTTATTCTTGTGAAGTCTGCTGTTATAGGTTGTTCGTCAAGGTCGTTTTATTCTCGTATTCGGGAGTATATTTCAATATGGCTTAAAAAAAATCCAACACAAATTAAATGCATCATTGACTCTGTAGCATATAATGAACACAGGTTACTTTAACCTCCAATTCATCCTTTAAATATGATTTAGAAAATCTAGTGAAAGATGCTAACAGGTTTGTATACTGTAACATACTTTAACACTGTAGAACTTTCGGTCATACTATGGTTTAAAACTTGACCTGTGTATTTTTATTTGGTTTAAGTAATTGTTCTTTCCCCTTTTTCATTTCTCACCTCGTTGAATGTACTTTATTATTATTATTATTATTAATGTTTTCTCCACCCAAATGTCCTGATTACCATTCAACACATCTCTTTTCTCCTTTGCTAGATTTTTCACTCAAATAATTAAATATTTTTCTCATGTTTCGTAATTTCTTTTTTTTCAATAAATATTTGTTTTATTGAAAAAATTACATGGTTAGATTTTCACATAACAACTAATCAAATTCTAACGACAATTACACACATTGACCTAGATTTTATCATATATATATATATATATATATATATATATATATATATATATATATATATGTATATTTACAATGTGATTGTAAGGCTTTGAAAATGAATTCATTAAGAAGGATTTTTTCTGCTAAACAAATTGTTTTATTCGAATGAATTATACTGTGGAGAATGTTGAATTTCATTGAAATCACAAATCAATTTAAGTTAAGCAATTATTGAGAACTTGAAAGCACTACTAAATGGTTGTGTTGTCTTAATTACATTACATTACATTACATACATCCGGATCTAACACTCTACTTTCGTGGTACCATCAGGGTGACACACTATTATATACTACATCATAGTGGGTCTTCTCAGAAATGCTCACTCATGATCTCACAACCAGGAATCGAACCCAGGACATGCTGTCCCACTGATCTCCACAATCTTGCACTGACAATGATCATATACTCACTAGTGACTAACTTCAAAAGGAAATTTCTTGAATCTTTGAGTAGAATCATGACCAGTAGTATTCAAATGTGTTAAGTGTGAAAAATGCAAAGACTAAAGATAATGACAGTCTCATATGTGCATGAATTGATTGGAACAAGATTTAGCCACTATTAGATCCCAACATAGTGATCTAAAGGTTAGATAATCAATTACGTGCGAAAATGAGGGTCCTGGGTTCGGTCCTTTTCTGTTTCTCCTGGTGATCGACTGGATTATGAAAACGTCAATATCTAGAGGGAAGAACGGTATCCAATGGACAGCTAGAACGCAGCTGGACGATCTGGACTTCGCAGATGACCTGACTCTTCTATCGCACATGCAATAACAAATGCAAGAGAAGATGACCAGTGTAGCAGCAGCCTCTGCAGCAGTAGGTCTCATAAAGGTCTCATACATAAAGGAAAAGGCGAAATTCTCCGATGCAACACGACATGCGCCAACCAAAACACTCGATGGAGATACCTTGGAGGACGTTAACACCTTTGAGATGGTGGAGAAAACTTGTAGCTCAGGTGGATGATTGTGGTGGTGTTTCGTTCTCTGAGCTGGTTGTTTTGGTTGTGGAGCTTTCATTGTTCTTCTGAACAATGATGATGTTGTTCAGAAGAACAATGAAAGCTCCACAACCAAAACAACCAGCTCAGAGAACGAAACACCACCACAGTTAACACCTTTACATATCTTGGCAACATCATCGACAATCAAGGTGGATCCAATGCAGATGTGAGGCCGCGGATCGGCAAAGCAAGTGTTGCCTTTCTACAATTGAAAAGTATCTGGAACTCCAAACAAATATTAATCAACACCAAAATCAGGATTTTCAATACAAATGTCAAGACAGTTGTACTGTATAGAGCGGAAACTTGGAGAACTACGAAAGCCATCATCCAGAACATACAAGTGTTTATTAACAGTTGTCTACGCAAAATACTTTGGATTCGTTGGCCAGACACAATCAGCAACAACGTACTGTGGGAGAGAACAAACCAGATTCCAGTGGAGGAGGAAATCAGGAAGAAGCGGTGGAAGTGGTTAGGACACACACTACGAAAAGCACCTAACTGCATCACAAGACAAGCCCTCATATGGAACCCTCAATGTAAAAGGAAAAGAGGAAGGCCAAGGAACACACTACGCCGAGAAATAGAGAAAGATATGAGAGGAATGAACAAACATTTGACAGAACTGGGGAGGGAAGCCCAGGACTCAGATGGTTGGAAAAAACTGGCTGGCGGCCTACGTTCCATCGGGGGTAACAGGAGTAAGTAAGTATGGGTTCGGTCTCCACGTGTGTGTGTGTGTGCTCCTGAATACTCACCGGCCGAATTCTCCCGTTCTGGAAAAAGACAAACAGCCATCCAGTACTCCCTCGTTTTTAATGATTGTTCAGCTCAGATCATTTGATGCTTTCAATATAAACTCATAAGAATTTCTTTGAGAAAAAAAAGACGCCTTTTCTTCAATTAATTAAATATAGATAGAACATTGCTCTTGTTTTGTTAATGAATTATTTTTTTTCTTCATATTATTATTCAACAGAAACAACTCAGGTTTTAGTTTTTTTGTTTATTGTTCATTTATCAATAATTATTATTATTATTGTTATTTTAGATCATTTATATTCTATCAAACAGAGAGAGTCAGTCATATGATGTGTAAATGCTTACTTAGTGTTGTTATTTGCTGAACAACAACATTTTTTTACACAAAATATCATCATTGATTGTCTGATAAAAAAATAATCAATGCCTTTTTTTATTGTTGTCATCTCAAAATAGTAACAATTTATTACTCTTGTAAAAATTGTTTTTTTCTTGGTTTCCACGGTGTAACACCACCACCAACAACAACAACTGAGTACAAAAAATGAAAATAATGCCCATCATGTCTACTTACTAACATGAATAAACTAATATTTCATAGATTAAGTTAACTAATGTTTTTATTATTTCCGTTTGAGATAGATATCTAAACGTATTCTTTTTTTTACTTGTACATAAATATGTCTCTGCCCCTTTTTTAATTTTTTTTTTCACTATCTTATTGTACTGCTTAATTAATTAATTAGTAATGATAATCAATAGTGTTGAATAAATAAGATTGGGTTTTTTTTATGTGTCTGGATGCATATCCCCCATCTTGCTTTTTTTACACATTTGAAATCATCAATCAATCATTGTTAGATCACCATTAAAAACCTGAAAGTACTACTGGACGGTCGTTTCGTCCTGGTATGGGACTCATCAGTGGCAGTGCGCATCCACGACCGCTGCACCTCACAGGATTCGAACCGTGGGGCCTTCAGTCTTGAGCGCGAACGTCTAACCTCTGAACCACTAGTCCGACTTCCAACGGTGTTCATGTCTAACCCTGATTGATCTAGATATTTTTCGCGACCTCACTCATTTGTCTTTGGTAGTTATTGCCTACACCTGACAAGGTTGAACTCCACTGGTCACGTTTTCCCACTTTGAACTCTGAGAATTTACTCACAAAGACAGTTGTCACTAATGAGCACATTTTTCAATTCTTCAATTATTGTTTGCGTCAATTCTCTCCATGTTTCAAAATTGAGATTCTAATCAATGTGTTGTTGTTGGCGTTTTGCCTTGTTTGTATGTAGTCCAACACATAATTTTCTACTCCTTTTTTATTTTTCCATACATATTTTTATTCAGTAATCGGAAATTTTTTAATTTGCCTCTTTTTTTTCTCTCAAGTACTAAGGTCACTACATTCCACTCTGACTCCTCTATTTTTTTTTCTTCTCTGTTCAATGGAAAAAAAACAAACCCATATTCATTCTTCAAATTATTGTTGTACTCAGTTGACCACAGTATTTTGTGTTGTTTTTTTTTGTTTGCTCATTGTTTGAAAGTGTTATTGTTTATTTACTACTGTATTTATTTACTTTAGTTGTTCATTTCAAAATCTACCTTTTTTTTCTCCTTAAGTTGTATCACAAAATTACCGCCTTCAATTCTTATGCCTATGTCTTTCTTTCTTTCTCTATTTAGCCTTGTGTTTTTACATGATTCAGTGAGTTACTATGGTGATTTTCTAGTTTGGTAACAATCATAGTTCCTATTACTACCACTACTACTGCTACTACTACTACTGCTACCGGTAGTAGTAGTACTAGTAGAGTTATTGCTTACATAAAGTGTACTTCCTTTTTTTCATAATTTCTATAAAAAGATAAAATTATTATACTGTAGTAAGAAAAGACAAGATTTTTGTAGACATGTTATATTGTTTCATTAAAAGAGAGAGAGTACAATAGAATGATTGTTAGGTTCATGTTGATCATGTATGTGCTATTAAGATTATTGTTATTTTTCTACTGACTGAAATTCATTATTTACGTAATTATTTATTTATTTAATAAATTTTTTTTTCTTGAATTTTTAGAAGTTAAATCATTTGAAGAAAAGTATGTTTGTTATTCTGTATTACAAAGTTTTCTGAATGCAAATATTGTTGGTGAATGTATTTACAAGTAAGTAATGATTGAATATTAACATTTTACGCATTGATTTTCGTACAAAATATATATATATAGGCTCAATCTATTGATCAGACAGACATTGGAGTCAGTTAATTTCATTGTTGTCTATTCTTACTCATATCATTCAACATCTCCAATCAAATAATCATGGTTATTGCATGGTATCCTAGTCAAATCCTCTATACTTAGATACTATATGATTCCATCTACTAGTCAATGATTTTCTGAAGCAATGGCATGTTTTAATTTACCTACTCTTAGTTTTATTCAACAAGAATAGATGTTGAAATAAGCAGTGATTATACGTATCTCACACTTATCATAACTACCTCAGTCACCGGTTACTGACTATTAGTATATCAAACGACTTACTAGATTTGACAAGTGCCCTACACCTAACCTTATCATTGCTTAGTCAGTTGTTTGAAAACACCTATAATCAGGATTGGCTTGTATCGGCACCTGAACACTAGTGATATGGAGTGAAGCAGTTGAGCGTGTTGATCGCTTCACATATCTGGGGAGTATTGTCAGTGTTGATGACCTGGTGACTGACGAAATCTCAGCACGGATGAAGAAGGTTGATTGGCTTTTGCTAACTTGCGTCACTTATGATGCAGGTGAGAAATCCGTCTACTAATCAAAGGACGAGTGTACTGCGCAGCAGTTCGCTCCGTCTGACCTAGTGCTGTGGAATATGGATAGCCAGAGTAGAAGTTATTCGTAGGTTGCTTGTTTCCGATGATAGGTGTCTCCGAGTCATCGTATATCCTGGGGCAACCGAGTAAGTAGTGCTGTCGTTAGGAAACGAGTACTAGGTAAGGATGGCAGATCAATAGATGAAGTAGTGAAACTTCATCAGTTGAGGTGGTTGGGACATGGGTTGCGTATGCTTAACCACCGACTGCTGCGACGAGCTATGTTTTGTGGTGAAGGAGTAGGTTGGAAAAAAGCTAGGTGCGGCTAGACCAAAACATGGCAGAAATCCATGAAGTCACTGACAAGTGGACTGAGTCATGTCGGTAGGCGTCGACTACCTGGTTGGGGTCCGCGAGATGATAATAATCGATGGTTAGAGACCCTGAATGACATGGCTCAAAACCGTTTGCAATGGCGCCGGTGCATTTATTCTTTGTGTTCTCTCAAATCCTAAACTTTTCAATTCTTCATCACTTTATCTTTAGTATTTTAAGTCTATTTCACTAGATTCTACTTCTTGACTAATATCTTCTAATCCTAACCTCTCCGACTACTGCTAATACCTTTACTACCTCTTCTACTATTGGATTTGAATTGACAACTACATCTCTGTGCTAATGTGGTATGGCAACATGAACTGATGTACGTTTTTACGAAGTTCTACGTTGGTATTGATTGATTGATACTGCTATCCTAGAGGTGTTAACATCTACCACTACGATTTCAAAGAATCAGAAGTCTCTCATACATTTATATTCATATAAACAATTTTTTTTGCCTTTATGATAAATAATTGTTAGATAGGTATGTTAAATAACAATTTGAACTAGAAAATCATTGTGACAAGTGAACAGTCACAAATCGGACGACCAGTTTACACTGTTTAGATTTCAATCGTTCAATAAAATGAAAATTATCTTAGATGTAATGTGAATTATTGAGTTGTTGTACATACCAAAGGTTAATGTGATAGATTAGATGAGAATTTTTATAAGAATGTGATAATTAGAAATTTTCATCTTGTAAATTAGAATAACACATATATGAGCAAACAAAATTATTGTCAATTAGATCTGTTTAATCAAGTTTTACTCTTAACATACCATAATGTTAATGTGCATATATGAAATTGTTAAACCAAATCAATGTAGTTTTTGTGAAGTCAATGATAGTCAGTCAGTCAGTCAGATGCAACGTAGAACTTTGTACGTAAGTACATCAGTTCATGTTGCCATACCACATCAGCACAGAGATGTAATTGTCAATTCAAATCCAATAGTAGAAGAGGTGGTAAAGGTATTAGAAGTAATCGGAGAGGTTAGGATTAGAAGATATTATTCAAGAAGTATGATTTAATGAGAAAAGTTTAGAAAGTCAAAACTAGAGGTGTTGAAGAATCCAGAAGATTAGGATTTGAGAGAACATAAAGAATAAATGCACCGGCGCCATTGCAAACGGTTTTTCAGCCGTGTCATTCAGGGTCTTTAACCATCGATTATTATCATCTCGCGGACCCCAACCAGGTAGTCGACAACTACCGACATGACTTCATGGATTTTGTCATGTTTTGGTCTGGCCGCCCCTAACTTTCTTCCAACCTATTCCTACACTACAAAACAAAGCTCATTGAGGCAGTCGGTGGCTAAGCATACACAGCGCATGTCCCAAGTCAATGATAACGTTGACATAGATTATAGAAAATTGAAAGTTTCACGATAGCAGTACTGGTTATGATCAGAATATTATCGGCTTGAATCGATGTTTCACAGTAGGATGTAGGTCAAACGGTTTGAAAAAATTAGACACTGAAATGACGTTCATGAAAATTATAAATTACGTAATAAGAAATATTCAGATAATTCGATAGTGTAATGGATATTTGAAGAAAATGGGTGAAGAACAAACAAACACAAAGTATGGAAATTAATAGTAAATAAAGTCTTTAGTTTAGGCTGATTCGGCCAAGGAAAAGATAGAGGTGTCAGGTGCATTGTTAGTTAGATTCTCATAAGTTTTTGCTTTGCGTAGGATATGAGAAAAGTAAAATCAAATGATATACGATAAATTACTATAAATGACTTGTTTCTGTCTACTAATGACCAATGTCGATCAAATGTGCTAGAACTAGGTTGCGTATTGGTTTTATCATACTCTTTCCGGACAACAAAGTTTGATGTTCGCTAACAGGTTGGCTCAGTTATCTGGTTGCACGCCCAATATAGGTTTCCCTATGGGAGCAACTCAAGTCCTCGATACGCATGAATTTGGCAAAACCAGATAACTTGGTTGAGGAATCACTATCTAATATACATGAATATTTATAGATGAAAATGTTAAACCAATCAAGGCAATGTATCAGTCACTAATCACAATGAAATGAAATAGAGATTACGTCACTACATATAATAGGCAAAAGTACAAGTGGATAGTAGTAGGAAGACAGGTATACTGATAGTAGTAAGAAAATTATAAAATATGATAACTAAAGTTATATCAATAGTAGGTAGTTAGTGACGTAATCTTTTTCATTTCTACACATTTGAAATCATTAATCAATCATCATTGTTAGACCAGCATTAGAAACCTGCAAGCACTGGACGGCCGTTTCGACCTAGTATGGGACTCATCAGAGGCAGTGCGCATCCACGACTCCTGCCTCTCGCAGGATTCGAACCCGGGACCTTTGGCATTGTAGGCGAACGCCTTACCATCGGACCACTGGGCCGGCATCCAACGGTGTTAATGTCTAACTCTGATTGATCTAGGGATTTTGCGCCACCTCACCCATTTGTCTTTGGTAGTTACTGCTTACACGTGACAGGGTTGAACTCCATTGGTCACGTCTTCTCAACTAGAACTCCGAGAATTTCCTCACGATGCTGGTCACTAGTGAGCACTGTTACGATATTTTGGGGCACAGTTTTGGAGGTTTGCGTTTTTACACATTTGAAATCATTAATCAATCATCATTTCATTGTGAGTAGTGACTCATACATTGCCTTGATTGATTGGTTTAACATTTTCATCTATAAATATTCATGTATATTAGAGAGTAAAGCCTGATAACGACGATCTAATCGAAAACAATCACATTGTTCGCTTTAATATGTGTTGTTCTAAGAATCATTATCTGTCAACTAGAAAACGACAAGCATGTTAGTTGTATATTAACCATTCTCTGCATTGCTTTACTCAATCTGTATCAAAGTGAAATACTTGGACAAAAATAAATGTACTTATTGCAATTAGTCTGTAACGTTTATCTTTATAATGAAATGTGTACAGACTAGCATACGTGCATATGTGTACATTTTTGCACTATATATATACGTAAATATCACCTGATCTAAATTATTGTTTATAGTTTTTTTGTAATTGAGACAAAAATAAAATTGACAATTATATGTGTATACATTGATAATAATTGATGACATAACTAACATCCTTTTTTCACTAAGCTATTTATTCATTTTCATGACAATAATAAATAAGTTTATGAATTGAATTATCTTCAAGTCACATAATAATCACACTTGTACATGAGTGATTGATTTCGAAAAAACAATTTTCAATATATAAAGTCACTGCTGCTTAAAATGCAACCATTTTTTTGTAGTGAAAAAAAATATCAATCCTAAATGAATGACAATCTCATAATAATGATGTGCATTGATTAAAATTGAAATTATGAACTTGTCTGGTGGACCTAATTCATTGTTACTAAAAGTAATCGTTCACATTGGATTCATTATTTTGTAGACTATATCGTGAACTAACCTTGTAGTGAATGAGAACACAGGTGGGGCAACCGAATTGTATATTAAACGAAAATTACAGAGTTACTCAGTAAAATAGGAAAACCATATCGTAAATCGTTAATTTGCAAAATATCAGTTCATCATATCGAACTGGACTGACTGTTCCTGTTGCAAAACATCAATCCATTGTCACTCACTATTCATGCGTTTCATACAAATTCCATTGTGTTCTAACTCTTCCTCTCTTGTTGATCTTCCCTCATCTTCTGCTGCCAGACATTACGTTGACACTCATGTCATATACTACTTATAAGTAGCTCACACCACAACCTTAGACAACCACTGAAAAATCATAATGAAAAAAACTGAACAGCTTTTTCGTCGTACTATTGGCAACCGGGTCGCGATTGACTATGATCATCACTACTACAGCAATTACGAGCCTGTCACTAAGAAGAAGAGTTATCCCATAGTAAATAATACATTTGTTGGAGATTTTGTGGTATCGAAAGAAAAGCGAAATCCTGCCAGAAAAGTGAGGCGAAATTAGAGAGACAGGGGAACCGAAATGCAGCAACACAAACAGAAAGTTTGCGCGTACAGAGTGTTATCAATAACGAGGTTCAGTAAAACAATCACTGGTACAATTGGTTATAAAAATGAATGTTTCTATCAAACCAATCACTTTCTCTTCATAAAAATAGATTCACTACAATAGTACATAGATCCACGAGCCCACGCTTGATTGAACTCAGAACCTTCAGTTCTCATATCAAGCACTTAATCTTTAGACCATTAAGTTAGCATCCAATGGTTCGATTAGTTGTGTACTGCTTAGGTGTTCCGTACTATATAGCTGTTCAGTTCTTCCTTGTTTGTAATATGGACGCTCTCCACAAATTCTTCATACTATTAATAAAAATTAGGCAAACTTATTCAACACTAATTTCAAGCAGTAATTCTCAGAGTTTTAATGAAAAATCATGATCCAAAGAATTCAACCATATTGGGGGTATATTTTTTGGTGGTTGCCTATTAGTATATCAAAATTAATTTCACAAAATATGATAAATTAATTGAAACTAAACAATTTTAATTATCACTTACTGAATTATTTCATTTATATTCTTTGTAGAACTATGGCTATAGGCTTAAAAAAAACACACAACATAAGTTATCACTTATTAAGGTTACAAATTCTAATTATTACCACTCTTACTATTATCGACTATGCTTGCTAATAGTCTACAAAAATTTTGTATGAAAGATGAAAAATGAATTATTGACGATCAATCAGTAAACATAACAGTCATTTAGATTAGATTACATACTACTCTAGAGCTAGTTTTTCATAAAACCTACTACATAAATTTTCGATTAGTTCTACTGTGGTGCGCGCTAATTATAAGTAGTATATGACGCGAGTGTCAACGTAATGTCTGGCAGCAGAAGATGGGGGAAGATCAAGAAAGGAAGAGTGGAAACACAATGGAATTTGTATGAAACGCATGATTAGTGAAATGTCAGACAATGTATTGATGATGGATTGAAGATATGCAAATTAACGGTTACGATATGGTTTTCTTATTTTACTGAGTAACTCCTGTGTTCTTCTTCACTACACTACTTTCACACATGTTTTTTTTTGTCTCAGGATGAAATATTTCTTATATATCTTAAAAAATACACAAGCATGAAAATACATATCTACACTAACTGGCTTCATGTTCACTCGTTAACTTTGTGCAATATAAAGTAGTGAGGAAAAAAACACAGAAACTTTTTTAAGAAAAAGTGCATTTCACTGACAAACATTAATATATTACATTTGGCGTATATATATACAAACAATGCAAATGAAATTGTGAAACAGGGCAATTTCATGTTAACATGTTTGCACAGTTAGAAAACAGACGGTGACCTTGAGGTTCAAGGTCATATATATGTGTATATGAATCAATTTAAATAAATTTAATCTTGTCCTGAACACCTATTCAATTGTTCACATATATATTCCAATAGGCTGTTATGTAAATCAGTTCTGATACAAAACATATTTTAACTGGTTTTATAACCAGAGAGAAAAAAAGTGCTTTTTCTCACTGAAATATTTAAATTTATGTTTTGAACTAAATAACTGGAATAGTTAATTAGTAGTATATTGGATATGTTAGTAGCAGCAGTAGTAGTATTTGATTAGTTAGTGGTTTCGATACATGTTGTATGTGTATATTTATTCGATGTCCTACGTTGAATATCATTAAGAATCCATTCTAACCACTCACTCTCTGACCGAACTTCCTCGTTCATTCAACCAACTTACCATTCCAATGTGACCTTTTTTAATTACGACTGAATTTTATTTCGTTGCATATGCAAACACTGTTGACCGTAAATTGAATCTTAGTTTAAATTATGTTGTATTCATACGAATTATACGATGATTGTACTTTATTATTTATTGTCTTATGAAAGATTAAATTTTTAATATTCTATACATGATTAAGACGAAGATGACCTTTGCTGATGATGATAACATATTTATTTATTTATTGGTTTCCAGTCTTCTATGGAATAAATGAAATTTAAGTAACATAAAACTTGTTAAAGATGAATTAGTCGAAGTCAAACATAAACATTATTGAATTCTGAGTTAGTGTGTGACCAAATGTGTTGGGTGAGGGCGAGCTGCAGGTTCTCATAGACTGATCCCCTGAGATTCTTAAGGATGGTGGTCCAGTGTTAACAATTAGACCGACTGAGATCTTAGGTAAAATCTGAGAACTGGACGTAATCCCATCTGACTGGTCTCAATCCCTGATTGTCCCAATTTATAAGAAAGGACAAAAGTCTTCTTGTGACAATCACAGGGGAATCAGTCTAACTAATATAGTTTCTAAATTGTTAGCCTCGATTATACTTAGACGCCTTACTAGTGCTCGTGAAGAGCAGACTAGAGAAAACCAGGCTGGTTTTCGACCTGGACGTGGTTGTATAGACCGCATCTTCACACTACGACAGGTCCTGGGACACAGACACACATTTAGGCGTCCTACAATAGTTGTCTTCCTAGACCTAAATGGGGTATTTGACTGTGTTGATCGTGAGGTTCTGTGGCAGTGTCTGTCATTGAAAGGTGTAACAAAGAAGTATATTAACCTCTACTCGAACACTACTGGTCGAGTGAGAGCTTATGGCGAACTGTCATCTGAATTCTTTACTTTAAGTTGTGTCCGTCAGGGCTGTCCACTTTCTCTATTCGTGTTTAATTTTATCATAGACAAGCTCTTAGACATAACATTGTCCTCGTCTGAATTTTCAGGAGTAGACCTCTTACCAGGAGGCTCGCTTATTGACTTAGAATATGCCGATGACATAGTCCTACTTGGTGAAGACGCTGACAAAATGCAGATTCTTCTGACCACCCTAAGCAACAATGCAAGCATGTTCGGGATGCCGTTTTCCTCCCCCCCGAAATGCAAAATGTTGCTTCAAGACTGGGTTGCATCGGCACCTGAACTAGTGATAGGGAGTGAAGTAGTCGAACGTGTAGACCGCTTCACTTCTCATCAGTGCTGATGTCAAGGTGACTGACAAAATCTCAGCGCGGATCCAGAAGGCTTGATTGGCTTTTGCCAACCTGCGTCACTTATGGCGCAGGCGAGATATCCGTTTGCTGACTAAAGGACGAGTGTACTGTGCAGTAGTTCGCTCCGTCCTACTGTACGGATGCGAGACTTGGCCGTTAAGAGCAGAGGACTTCCATAGGTTACTAGTCTTCGATCATCGATGTCTCAGAAGCATTGCTCGTGTATCATGGGACAACCGTATGAGCAATGTTGTTGTTAGGAATCGAGTACTAGTTAAGGATGGCAAATCAATAGATGAAGTAGTGAAACTTCATCAGTTGAGGTGGTCGGGACATGTGTTACGAACGCCCAACCACCGACTACCTCGATGAGCTGTTTTGTGGTGTAAGAGAAGGTTGGAAGAAGGCTAAAGACGGTCAGACAAAAGCATAGCGGAAATCCATGAACTTACTGAAAAGTGGACTGAGTCATGTTAGTAGATGTAGACTACCTGGTTGGGGTCCGCGAGACGAAAGTCACCAATGGTTAGAGACCTTGAACAACATGGCTCAGAATCGTTTGCAATGGCGCAGGTGCATGCACACATCTTCTCTCGCATTCTAATCTTCCGAATTCTCCATGACCTTTATCTTTCTCCTTCTAAATTTATCTCAGTGAATTATAATTTTCGAATCATATGTTCGCTGCCTAATCTTCCCCATTACTGCTACTACTTCTAATATCGCTATCACTCCTGGATTTGAACTGACAGCTGCGTCTCTGTGCTGATGTGGTATGGCGTTGTATCTGCTTGTCTGTCTGTGTTTGACATGGAGGTCTTATATGCACTCTGTCGACAAATCCTAATGATAGAAAGAAACAGTTATTCAATGGTTCGGAATTCCCGATAGTTATCTAACTTTATTCGATTCGTGATCGCAATCACCAAAAACTCGTTTCATTTGATGTGTATGCACCATGTGTTTCTACCGTGACATATAAAAAGTCTTTACAATAAAAAGTCTTTTTATTGCAAACGGTAGAATCATTCCGCAGAACACGAAAGTATAATGATTCGTCAAGCCTACAATGAGTCTGTTTAATTGTTTAATCATGAAAGCCAGCGATACCTGTTACATAAGCATAAATTTCGATTGATTGAATAAACATAACTCGCATTTATAAAAGTAAAAGGTTTAGATGTTGTTACGCTTGCAAATAATACACGTCAACTTGGTATGCTTGAACTACCTAGTTGTAAAACGAGAACGAGGATCTGGCGACACGACATGCTACTCAAATCCAATTACTCCAACCCCCATATTTAGTAAAAAAATAAGAAGACTTGATATGAAGTAGAACATGTATTCTACAAGCATCCAGAAAGTACGAGGTCCGAATCCAGAAGAGAATCAGGATCTCGGACTAGGGATCCGGGACCGGGTCCTTATCCTGGTCGTGGTCATAAAACGTTACAGATACATTTTGGTCGAATAGGAAACAGCATCAAATTCTGTGACATTGACAGTTTAGGATGACCAATAGGAAGTAACAATTGAAATGACATTGACAGTCCGGATGACCAATAAGAGCACAGCATTGAAGTATTTCACTTTGACAGTTAAAACGACCATAATTTTGACCAATAGGATTTGACCAATAATTCTTTTAGGATATTAGATGAATATCCTAACAGATGTATACTACTATGCGACTGGTATTTTTATGTCGTCAAATTTCAAACTGAATATAAACTTTAACATAGTTCCTATTTGACATTTGATTCTTCTGAATGTCTATATGTTCTGTTATTCAATTTTTGATGACACTTCGTGAAGGTTGCTGGTGTGTATATTCAGCTAGATATTTTATTCTATTTTTCTTTTTATTTTATTTTATTCTTTTTTAGTCCAAAAGATGATGAAGCAAATACATTGTATCATATGGGTCAATGGACAAATTATGCTATTCTTTTATTACAAGGACGTGCTACCGTGCAAATTGGTGTAGAAGGATTAATTTTTGAAGCTGGACCATTTGTTATGTTCGGTGAAGCTGTTTTAAAACGTAATAATTCTTTTTAAAATAATAATAATAATAATAATACTGAATAAATAATGCGATATGGTGGTTAGCAAGTGAAATTCATGGCTTGCATTTTACCATATTTGGTAACCATCAGTTAGAGAGGTGTACATGTGTCTCCGCAAATGGAACTCGGTACCTTTCACCTCAAACACTAATGCGTTTTCATAGCAATCTAAACAGAATACATATATTTTAACCAAGACTAATTGAATTTCAGTTAAAGTATCAATAAACAAAATAGCTTAAACCATTAAAAATTAATTTGAAGGTAGATATTGTTCAAAATTCTCCTATGATGTGATTCTACACATTCCAGATAGTGACGTAAAGGTCTAGTGGAGAAAGGGGCGAGCTAATCAGAATCGGGATAACTACTACTTGTGTAACCATATTTCTACAGTACTATGATTGGGAAACTTCTTAAAACCATTAAACTCTATCCGGTTTCAATTAATTCTGTTTAGAAATACAACTCTACTAAATGTCGTCAAAATCTTTCTGGTCATTTGAAGAATAGATGTTAAGCTCCTACCTATATTGTATTTTTATCCTATTGTCTACGTTAATGGTCGATTGCCTAGGTGAAATCCCCCAGTCCCTAAAGCTATTAATTAGAACATTAGAAAAGCCATTCTATAATGCCTTGTGTATTATTCAAACTCAAACTCATGTGATTATGATAGAAGATTATAATATTATTTCATAAAATAATAAGTCACAATAGATAATACATACTTGAATAGAATATTCATGGTACAATTGCTTGACAGAGTAGGTTATTAATGAACAAAAATCTAACTACAATTAATGGATTATAACACACAAGCTTACACTGTGTATAAAATAACATGGAAAGATTGTTTGATAAATAAACATTAAAAATATCTACACTGGTGTTCACTACTAGGAAAGAAATAACTTACAAAGTTACATATTTTTATCCATCTGCCCAATCTTACTAATAATAGTTTTTACACATTGAAATTATGAATCAATCTTCATTGGACCACCACCACCTGGAGGCACCACTGGACGGCCGTTTCGTCCTGGTATGGGACTTATCAGCATGGCGCATCAACGACTCCTGCCACCCGCAGAATTCGAACCCAGGACTTTCGGGCTTGCGCGCGAATGCCTAAGCTGAGGACCACTTGGCCGGCATCCAACGATGTTAATGTCTAACTCTGATCAATCTAAGGATTTAGCGTGACCTCGCCTATTTGTCTTTGGTAGTTACTGCCTACTGCCAACAGGGTTGAACTCCACTGGTCACAACTCACTAGAACTTCGAGAATGTATACTACGACCATTATTTATTATCATGAATGAATACATGCTCTGCTTCCAACATGGTTGACTATAAACAGGTTACATGTTTTCACTGAAACTCGCGAGTCTCTGAAAGCCGTCATTATCATCTGCGGATTCGGAAATCTTTGGCTAATTTCAAGATTACTCGAATTTGAATACATGAAAAAATTTCGTTGGTGAATAACATTAACATTACAGTTTTAGTAGACAAAGACACATCTATGTACTAGTTTTGTTGAAGGTGCGTTCTCTGAGCACGATGTATAATTAGAGTCTAGAGATTTCATTGTTTTTCCTCAATAACATTTGTGTATATTTTAAAATGTAAACTGAACTGACCAACTGTACTCAGTAATTGATAATACTATGGCGTTTTGAAAGAATGGTACTGGGTCCCATTCTCTAAGTGCACATTTACTCGATATAGGTATACTTAGCTGACGGAGTACAAAATAGGGCTAAATATGCATCCTAGATTTCACTGCTAGTCACCATTCATCTCTGTCTATAATGCTTATGACTTATTGGCACATATTCCATAAAGACTGATCGACTGTTTTCCTGAGAAGATTCGAACAACCAATACATTTTTCATCGTCTGTAGATTTATTTGACATAGATATACTCTCCAGCGCTTTTAATTTTATTGCTAGTATATTAGCTTTCTCAGAACCCTTTCTGATTGGTCGGTAGATTGAATCTATTTGAATGTTTGTTTATTACTGACTGTGATTGAGCTTCAAAGCTACTTATTGTCTTTGACAAGTATTTCAAGTATTTCCCAGGAGAATATGACGTCTGCCTTTGTCTACATGGATTGATATAGACAAGGTTATATAGTGATATTCGACAACTCATTTATCTCTGAAGTTTGTGCTGATGTAAAGTGTCAATGATATCTTCATGCTCAAAACTATCCAGTTCAATGAACTCAATTTCTAAGCTCCACACACTATCTTACTTTATACCTAGACTTTCAACTATACCACTGAGATAGTTTTTCATCCTTTGAACCTCTGTAATGAGTATTCAAGTCAAATACTTTACACCCATAAAGAAACAACTTTTCCCAAAGTGATTTAACAGTCAATTCGATCGTTCCCAAAAGTAGACAAATGATTCAATAAACTAATAGATAGAGATGGATATAGCGATTAACATTGCTTAAATAAGCATAAGAGATTAGCGAAAATAAACTTGAATTCATGTCTCTTATAGAATTGACTTCGCCATGTTGATATTAATCAATAGAGATCACTTCAAAAGGAAGGGTTTTAAACCTTATTAAAAATGATATTCATCAATTGATTGTCCCAATAATGACCCCCTCCCCCATCGTTTTTTTTCTTTATACTAAAAACAACCTAGGCGTCAATGAATTATTTCCAAATCCTTCAGAAAATATGGATCCATCTTTTCAATCAGCACGTTTAGCATCAGAAGCTCGATTTCTACCGGATTATAGTTTAAAAGCATGTTCAAATTTACAATATTTGAAAATATCAGCAGAACATTATTTATTAGCTAGACGATTAACTGTATTGCATCAACGGGCTAATTCACGTAAGTAGAACATACTACATATGCATAATCTATCTTTGTAACCTGATGTTGTAACGCTTGCTTAAAATGATTCCCAGCTAATTCCTATTGCTTAGTATTCTGTGACCACAATACACTGGACAAGTTCCCAAGAATCAAAAACACGATGGAACAGGAAAAGATTATATTCCAAATAGCAAGGTTAAATGGAGGTGAGAAGCCGAAGGCGAAGGCAAAAATACATACAACGTTAGTTTATTTATAGTATTTACACGAGAAGCTTCTGGATAGTAATTCACGCGATTGACTGGATTAGATTTAGCCAATCAGCATGCAGCTAACAACACGAGAATTTTCTACCCTGTTCTCCAAGACTCGATCAGGCGCTGATTGGATAGGAAATTAGCCAATCAGCGCGCAGCGACATAGTCATGCTTTAATTCCATCTGTGTCCCACTAACACCTGACTTGACTATAACAGAAATGTATCATAGATTATTAACGTATATTCATAGAACTGTACATAAAATGCATCAGTTTGTCTGTTCTTTTATACAATTCAATCTCAAATGAAATTGTTTAAATCCAAGTTATGAATTGATTTAAAACAACTGAAAGAGAAATTCTTGGATTCGATTTCCTCCAATCAAGGAAATTACTGTTACCTTATCGATACTGTTTCCTTCCATAGTCTATAGGCCTCAATAACGAATAACATAGATTCTCAAACTTAGGATTTTCGGTTTCCCTAATAACAAGTGTGGTACTTTCTAGGCTATTGAATTAGTAAACAATACTTGATATATTCTGTTTCAGTCAATTTGTAATATTATGTGATCCTATTTGAATGCTATCTTAGAGAAGTTACTGTCTCAATTACTACAGGGTTGAACTCCAACAGTTATAATTTTCAGTGAATATACGGAACAGCTGTCCACTCAGTGCTCTCTTATCTAGCTGATGTCAGTCACAATTGGATGGTCACTGATTAGTAATTAATGTCATGTTTGTCTAATCCTTTAGTTTTCTGATCGGATTCCATTAATCAAATTGTAATGTGACTAGTCAGTTAGTTGCAACGTAGAACTTCATACGTATGTACATAAGTTCATGTTGCCATACCACATTAGCACAGAGACGCAAATGTCAAATCAAATCCCATAGTGATAAAGATGGTAGAGGTATTAATGGTAATGAAGAAGACTAGGGTTTAAAGATATTATTCAAGAAGTATGATTCAGTGAGATAAGGTTAGAAAGACAAAGGTATAGGTGCTGACGAATCCAGAAGATTAGGATTTGAGAGAGCTCAAAGAATGGATGCACTTGCGCCATTGCAAGCGATTTGAGCCATGTGGTTCAAGGTCTCTAACCATTGATGACTTTCATCTCGCGTACCCCAACCAGGTAGTCTACATCTACCAACATGACCAGTCCACTTGTCAGTGACTTCATGGATTTCTGCCATGTTTTGGTCTGGCCGCCCCTAGCTTTCTAATGTGACTAGTAATGTAAGTAACTCAACATTATATGTTGTCGGATAGTTGGCACTAATTCAGAAGAATCCATTGAATCATTTCGTGCTAGTCGAAACTCTTCGGCAAGGCTCACCTAAAATCTCATAGCACTGTAATCGATAGAATGCCATTAGTACTAAAATTAACCGTTATTTACTGATCGACCAGTGCTAAAATCTCAGTCCTTTAGGAGATCAGTGGAGTGCTGAGAAGCTCAGCGATAACGTTTCAAAATGTGAAGCGAGGTGAATTGAACCACACATTCAAAACTAGCTCCCTAAATAACACAAGTACGCCTTACGGATGACTGTGAGGTAACTTGAATCATAGATCAATGATTTTGTGTTGGCTACCACCAAACACCTGATATCAGTCAGTCTGTGACAAACACAAATTAACTTCCTCCCTAATCATCACTAATCAATCACACTATTAGTTCGTTGTAATGACTGTTTAGCTACACATTGACAAGAAAAAGTTCTGTACACACTTCATTCATTACACATATTTTAACTGTTTTGAATTATATTTTCTTTCGATTATTTGACTTTTGTCAATAGTCTGCATCTTTGATACTGTGTAATGAAAAATACACATTTGACATAGATGCAACAAAATGCAATTACATACATACATACATACATGTGGTCACAATGAAATGTTATTTTCTTTTCTCCATAAATATGATAGTCGTTAAGTTGAATCGTTATTCCAATCTCTTGATTGCGAGTTCAAACCAAAAGTTCTATCTGTTTGTTGTTTGTCATTGACATGCGCGTAATAGAATTGTATACTGTAAAAATCAATACTTATCGATCATTTTGGGAAATTTTGCATTTTTTTATTATTGATTTGCTCTAAAACCCACTGGTTTTGGAGATGCGCTTCCGGAAAATCATGATTTATGTTGTCGTCCACATCAGGCGGCTTATACAGTAGTCACATAATGAAATAATTGAAAAAAGTATTGCTCCTTATCACAGATTACCTACCTGATTCAATTGCAATGAATTATTGTATAATAACTGAGTGTTCTTATGACATCATACTTTGTTGAAGAACTGGAAAGATTTAGACTCTATTTTATGTAGATTTATGTGTGTGTGTGTGCATTAATAACAGATTGCAAAGCAAAATGAAATATCACTGTTGACTACCACTACTAGAGAAGTCTTGCTCACATCCTAAGGCCCCTGTGTACAAAGACGTCATACGGAGTCGGTGTGTATAACCACGTCTCTCGATTGTCTCATTGGATCAGTGCGGTTAGTCAGGATTGTCCTTACCGGCTGCCCACACCGTGGAAGGGTGTTTCTTGAGGAACCTGAGAAAGAAGGTGGATTAGTGTTGGTCTAGGAGCGTGACCGCAGAGCCCAAGGGACAACTGCTTGAGGCCGATCGCGCATGGCCTTTTTATCAGAAGTTTTTGAAGTGTTAGCTCCGTTATTCTTAAAAGGTCTTGCTGCCGGAGACGAAAATCCGTGAGGTAAGGTGAGGTATGACATTTTTAGGGTCGACTTCTTCCAACCCTTCTTTCCTTGTGAGAAGGCAGCATCGTTGCAGATTCTGGTTGTCCGAGGGAAACACCTTACTGCTGTAACACTTCTCTATTGTCATCAGTACGACTTCGCCTTCAGACCTTGAGTAGCTGCTTTTAGTCTCATCGTTCTCCAATCGACTTGCCTGACATGGTAGAACCTTCAGGAACATATGTTCCAGCCAATATAGCTCGATTGGGTTATCACGATAGGCAAGCCCGACCAGCACGACAATGTAGCAGCGTTTCTGTGCTAATGTAGTATGGCAACCTGAACTGATGTCCTTACGTACCAAGTTCTACGTTGTAACTGAATGACTGACTGGGTCCTGGAGATTGTTGAGTTCCATTTTAGTCATGAAGCACCGAATGGCTGTTTCGTCTTAGTATGAGACTCATCAGCAGGGAACATCCACGCCCATCGCTCGTGAGAATCGGACCCGGGATCGCCGGTCTCATGCGCAAACACTTCATGTTTAAACCACTTACTGAGTCAAAATGCAACAGTGTTGTTATATTTCTTCCTTACTTTATTATCATTCCATAATGCAAACTATTTAATATATTTTATTCTGTTATTGAATTAGTATTTATTATCTTCTTTGATTTATACTTGTTTATTTCAATAGCTCTTGATGTCACTGGTAAATATCCTATCAATTTATCTGATAAATTAAATGAAATGAAACCATTGAATAATTGTACACATTCATCATCATCAACATCATCATCAGCTTATTATGGTCATGATATGTTTCAAAATGCTTGGAATCATCATATTGATCGTTTACAAAAATCATCATTAGCAGCAGCTTATGCTTCTACAATTGATCATAATCATACTACTACTACTACTACTGATAATCATAATAATGATAATCCTGGTAGTAAACCAGTATTATCATCATCATCATCACCTTCAAATTGTACAACAACAACAACTACGACGACAACGGCGACGACCACTTCCTCTACGAGTACAACAAGTACTACTAATACTACTACTAATAGTAGTAGTAGTATTTCTCCAACTACAGCTACTTCAGTGAATGCAAAAAATCGTAAAACAACAACAAATTATCACAATAATAATAATAATAATAATAATAATAATAATAATGCTGAAAATGCTATTCCAGATAGTACTACTTATATAGTTAGTAGTAGTACAGCATCTTATCATCAACCTCATGGTACAGATAGTATTAGTGGTAATAGTAATAGTAGTAATAGTAATAATAAGACTGATAAAGTCAATCCTCCCCCTCCTACTCATCATCGTCACCATCATAATAATAATGGCACAACTAGTAGTAATCATACAACTATCAGTGTTACTACTCCGACTACTCCGCCTACTACTGCTACTACTCCTAGCACTACTAATACCACTTCTAGTAATAATAATAGTAATAATAACATTAAATCATCATCATCATCAAAACTCTATGTATCCTATGAAGATTTAAATAAAGCCAAACCTGAAGAATTACAAGCATTTGTTCCGTCTAGCTTAATTCATACTAATATGAATATTCCATTTACAAAATTTACTGATAATGGTAATTCACGTGTATGACCTCTCACTGTCTCTGTCTCTCTCTCTCTCTCCTTCCCTCCTGCCTCTCTATCTCTCTCTTCTTACATTCAGACAAATACATTTTATATATTTATTTTTTTGCCTAGTATTTCTTTCTAGTCTTCAATGAATAATATGTAAAGTATTCTTTTTTTTTTCTATTTCAATGATTATTAATTATGAGATAGTAGTAGGAATCATTTCTAGCTCACACTGTCTCTATCTATCTATCTATCTCAATCTCTCACACATACACATACACACACTTACACTTGTAATGATTATTATTCCATTGCCTTTGATGATCCCCAATCAACTGAGAAACTCAGTGTTTACATGTGCAATTAATTACTACTCAGATGTTGTATTGTATTGCTCATTGTTTTACCTGTTGTTCTCATTTTTCGTTTTCATTTTCATTTTTTGATATCGCTCATATTTTCTACAGTCCTGTAAGATAAAGTACGGAATTTTTGTTTTTTTTCCACAGACGATAACACTCCGTGTATTCATTCATGCATACATACATACATACATACATTCCTGTCAAAAACACTTGTGCAAATGTACATCAGTCATATAAGTGTATATTTTTGCCGTGAATTACACAGACACAATATACAAGAAAACTTTGTATATTCATTTTGTTTTTGCTTTTCTACTATCTTTCTTCTTTTATCTCTCTTGCTTACTTAGTACCTACTCTGTATACATATATATGTATATATGTATATTCATATATAGATTATGTTGTGTTGATTATTGGTCTACTTAACTATGTTTTCTCTGTTTGTGTAACCTGTTTTTTTTAAAATCTTATTTATTTATTTTCAACTGTCTTCATCTTCACAGTTTACTTACTTTTCATGTTCTCCACTGAATAAAATTGAAATTGAAAAGTTCCTTATCTTCTCCTACACGTGTACACGCACACGCACACACACATGTACACACACGACCAACTTTCCGCCCTTTATTATATTTCCTCTCTCTAATATTTTCTCATTACTCTTCTGTTGTGCATTTTTTACTTAGAGTGGGATTGTTTTTGTCAATGTGCAGACTCATCCTCATTGAAACAGTAGTGTAATAGTTATCTCATGTGTAAAGTGTTGTTCAATTGAAAACATTAAAGCTTACAATACAGATCGATATTTGACATTTGATCCTCTTCTGTTTGTTGTTATTTTATTGTTTACTTCTTCTTCTTCTCCCTCTTCTTCTTCCTTGTGTTTTTCTTTTCACAGAATCTTTTTCTGTTTTCTATTTGTTTTTGGTTTGACTGACAACAGATTTGATGATGATGTTGATCATAATAATCTTAATAATACTAATACTAATACTAATCTCTCCATCAGGCAATGTAAATAGATACATATACATATATATATTTTCTCACTCTTTTTTTTGAGATATTTTTTTTGTTCTTAGAAAATTAATTTCTTTACTATTATTATTATTATTATTATTATTATTATTATTATTGTTATTATTATTATTCAAAGTGTTATTACTATAATTTAATTATCTAATTGAAGCAATATTTTTTAGGCAAAATAATCTCTAACTAAATAAAAATATAGTGGCAATAAGAATTAAAGTTAGAAGTGTCATTGTACATTTGATAATTTATATATATATATATATATTTGCTGAACAGTGTATTTGTTGATAAGAATAAACTGTCAGACTAGTGAATGGTTTATAATAAACGCCGTGATTAATTAATTACTCTTGTGTTAATAAACAACAATTGGTGGTTTTTTTTGTTGCCTTAATGATTGATTGATTGATAGTTTATCAATGAAGTTGTGATAGTGTAGTGAATGAGAACACAGGTGCGGGCAACCGAATTGTATTTAGCGAAAATTACAGAGATACTCAGTAAAATCGAAAAATCATATCGCGTAAATCGTTCATTTGCAAAATATCAGTTCATCCTATCGAACTGGACTGTTCCTGTTGCAAAACATCAATCCATTGTCACTATTCATGCGTTTCATACAAAGTCCATTGCTTTCTAACTCTTCCTTTCTTGATCTTTCCCCATCTTCTGCTGCCAGACATTACGTTGACACTGACGTCATATACTACTTATAAATAGCTCGCACCACAATAGGACCGACCTATCTGTTGACTATCGTAAAAAAAAGACATAACTAGTGTTTTGATATGAAACATGTAGAAAATAATCTGTGACTTAGATTTGATGTTAGTTTATCAAAGTGCGGTATCTTTATCATCTAATGAATTCATGGAGCAGACCAGCACTATCTATCCCACTTTATCCTAGGCTCTTCTTTCCTATTGTTCCCAATCATAATTTATTTTTTCGATATCTGCCTCCAATTCTTGGTGCAATATATTCTTTAGTTGCTTTATTCTCCTTTGGCTTTTGGGATTCCAAGTTTGAGTTTTGTCTTGTGACTTAGTTTGGTGATTTTTACAATGTGTGTTCTATCTAGCTCCAACGTTTTTAGCTAATTTCTTCTTCTACTGGAAGTTTGTTTGTTCTCCGCCACATTAGGTTGTTGTTGATGGTGTTTGGCCAACGAATCCGAAATATCTTGTGTGGATAACGGTTTATGAATATCTGTATCTTTTGAATGATGACTTTGGTAGTTTAAGCTCCATACAACGTTTGCATTAAAAATCATTTCTTAGGTGCTTTTCATAAAGCTGTAAGCTCTGACGAAATGCTGCCCTTACTTTGCTAATACGTGCCTTCATATCATCAAATCCTCTTTGTTTATCGGTGATGCTGTCTAGGTACTTAAAAGCTTTCACCTTTTCAAGAACTCCATCAATGTGACTTCATTATGC